CTCGTAATCCAAAGCACTTGTGCATCAAAGCGAATTTTAAGAACCATTGGCTCAGTTGTGATCATGTGACCTTTGGCATCATGTACTACTCGTATGGCAAGGCATCGCTCAGTTTATCAAGTTAAAATTTATTAGAAATGTTTGCTCATCTTGTGGAACACTCGCAGAACAAGTCACTCGCAGTCCAAGGTTTTACTGTACGTTAAAAATATACCTGTTTCCGATTCTGTGTCTCCCTCTCTCTCTGCCCCTCCCCCGTTCATGCTCTGTCTCTCTCTGTCCCAAAAATAAATAAACGTTAAAAAAAAAAAATATGACCACTTCCACTGCCACCACTCTGGTCTAAACCATCTTGTGTCTGCAGAAGCATCCTAATGAACCCAATCTCCACTCTTGTTTCTCTATAATCTATTTGCTACATAGCAGCCAGAGTAATTCTTTTACAACTTTGGTCAGATCATGTCACTCTTTTACTCAAACCCCCGCAATCTCTTCTGCCTCACACTTATTTATTCTGTTCATTGCCTCTCCCACTTTAGTATATGTGCCCCAAGGGGGGAGCCATCTTGGTCTGCTTACCGATGCGTCCTGAGTGCCTACAACAGTGCAAGTTAATACAAGAGATAACGGCTAGCTCCAGGGAAAACTTATACATGAAAGAAAATATAATCACGGATCGCTACTGTAAAATCAAGCCATCAAGCAATCTCTGAGCACAGTGTAGCTGCTAGGCTGTCTTGCCACACTTCCATAAATCCAGTTGCTAAGGAAACAAAGACGCCGTTATTACCCATGACACGGCAGGTAGCCTGGACTTCATGCTGCGATAATTCCCTTTGCTCCCTGCCCCCAGGTCTTCTTGGGAAGAACAGTGGATCTGTGTCACACCTGAGAAATGCTAATCTTAGGAAACTCTCAATCTTATAAGGGGACTGCTAGCAAACCTGACCAAACTTTGCCCCTCAGGGAGAGGTTATCTTTATTATCCTGCTGAGGAAACATCTTCTCAGAGGACAGAAGGTCTCTGCAGTGTCTCTGGAGTACTACATCTCTAAGTCTCTCCAGAGAGAGAGAGAGAGAGAGAGAGAGAGAGAGAGAGAGAGTTACTGTCTTTTAAAACAAATCTGCCCTCTGCGGTGGTAGAAGACACTAGCTCTAGGTTCTAAGCCTGTTTGCTGTACAAACATCCTTGAAAAGAGAGCCAGAGTTGTGTAGAAATGCCTTGGACAATTGCCTGCCACCGACTTGTTCAGCAGTGAATACTTGACAAAAGCATGAGAATGTGATCATCAAGAAAACTCTGTTGGAAGAATGGGGGAAGGAGAAGGGCCTATTTGTGGAGTAGCATAAAAGGGCTAATCCCGGGGCGCCTGGGTGGCGCAGTCGGTTAAGCGTCCGACTTCAGCCAGGTCACGATCTCGCGGTCCGTGAGTTCGAGCCCCGCGTCAGGCTCTGGGCTGATGGCTCGGAGCCTGGAGCCTGTTTCCGATTCTGTGTCTCCCTCTCTCTCTGCCCCTCCCCCGTTCATGCTCTGTCTCTCTCTGTCCCAAAAATAAATAAAAACGTTGAAAAAAAAATTAAAAAAAAAAAAAAGGGCTAATCCCTTGGCTGTTATGATAAGGAATTGTATACAAAACTAATCAAAAAATGGTAGTGTAAGTATATGGTGATACGGACTCAAACAAACACCCGAAGAACACTTGAGAGGGTTGAAAGTAGTTATGTCACGTTGCACTCGCTTGGTATCCCTCCTACCTCTATAGCGACCCTTTCCCACTGACCCTTGGTGCCTCCCCTTCATCGACTCCACGTCTTCGTGTTGAAATGATCCAGGACTCCGTCCTTGGAAACCTTGTGGCTTTATATGCTGACAGATTTCAAAATTTGCAACGAGGAGGTCATTAGCAATCTTGACAAAGAGCACCTTTGGTTGGGTGTAGGCACAAAATCCTGACTGGAGAGGGTTTGAGAAATTCATAGATTTATAAGGAATGGATATCCTCCCTTTGAGGATTCAGATCATCTTTCTATTACAAATCCCAAGTAAAACCTGATATTTAACAAAAGACACGCAGTTCAAATGTAAAGAATCGTAAAAGGTTACAAGAAATCCTAGCAGAAATTCCTTAAAACTTCACACTCATAAATTTTGTTTTTTATAGACATTTTTCTAGATAGATTTTATGCATGTCGTGACTTACTTACTGAACTAGTGGTTTTGCCTTTCGTGGATAAAACATTTTTTGTTTGCTCCTTCTGCTATGTGATAATTCTATTTTCTCCTTACGTGATTTGGATAATTCCGTCCAAAAATTTTGAAAAACTATTTAAAAGTTGTGACATCCTGTCATGTATGCTGCTGCTGATTCATTGAAAAGCTGGTTTCTCAACATCGGCGCTATTGACATTTTGGGTGGGATATGTCTGTGTGGTCGGGGCTGTTCTGTCTGTTGCGGTTTGTTTAGCAGCATCCTCGGCCTCTTTGTACGAGATGTCAGTCGCGTCCCCCGTTGTGACAACCGGAAATATCTCCAGACATTGCCAAATGTCCCCCCCTTGGGGGGGTGGTGAGGCCAAATCCCTCCAGGTGGAGGACCATGGTTGTAGAGAGGGTCAGAGAACAATGGAATTCAGGGAGGCTGGGAAGAAGGTACATATACAGTGAGGGTAGAGACAGATTGCAAGTGAAAAGATGGTGAAAAAAAAACTAAAAAAAAAAAAAGTTAGATGCTCAACTGACTGAGCCACCCAGGCACCCCTCTAGTGTAATTTTTTTAATGTCTATTTTTATTTTTGAGAGAGAGGGAGGGTGCGGGGCAGAGAGAGAGAGAGAGGAGGACAGAGGATCCGAAGTGGGCGCCGTGCCGACAGCAGAGAGCCTGGCACAGGGTCAAACTCATGAACTGAACCGTGAGATCATGACCTGAACCGAAGTTTGACACTTAACCAACTGAGCCACTCAGGTACCAACTCCCCCCCACCCCCCCGTCCTTCTAGTGTAATTTTTAATAGTGTTTCCTTTCATTCTCAAAAGTGTCCCAGTTTGGATAATAAATTACATGCTCATCCTACTCTGAAGGAGCAGGCCTTGATCAATTTCGGCTTTATTTCTGGTCGGCCATGTTGATTCCATTCCCAAACCCCACCTTTCCAGAATTCCCACTGTCATAACTCTCCTCTTCCTCATGCTGAGTCCAGACTTTGATCTGCCTGATCAGGAGCCAAGACTCTTGAGAGGCTAGCACAAGCAGTCGTATACAACTCAACTCCTCCACAGAATCTTCTTCATGAAATACCCTCTGGTCTAAATTTCCTTCCACCAGTGGACCTAGAAGGGTATAGCGGGTGCAGCCTCTGGAATTCTCCAAGGGATCATAGCCCAGCTCCACTTGCCCCTGCCGTAGCCAATACAGCCCTTTTTTGTCAGAACCTGTCAGGACCTCTATCCGGATGACTTTTTGTGGCTTCTCCAAAATCACTGTCAGGTAGTTGCCTCTTACAGGATTGAGAGTAGAGTAGCACTCTTCGTTCAGAGTATAAGCGTATTGTGGAATACCATTCATTTCTGCCATCATGTCAGTGAGGACGCTGGCAACGGGGTTGTCTGGTTCACCAAACACCTTCTCCTTCTCCACAGGAAAGCATGTGTCTTCAAACGCAGGATGCTTGCCTATGTGGAAGAAGACTGAGGGACTGAAACGAATTGGAACACTCTGGGCCAAGAGAAGGCGGAATTCAGAGAGAAACAAGTAAATGGGAATATCCTTATGGAAAAGGAGAAAGAGAGAGGCCAGGCGGGAGAGGTCACTGGTGTGGAAAACTTTCCCAGAGAGGCTTAGGCTGGAGAACTCCAGGATCGCCCAAGGTAGTTCTTTCCAGGCTGATAATGCCCAATAGATGGTAGAAACAAATTTGGAAGTGCAGTAAACATAGTCTTCCATCATCAGAAAGTATTCAGAGAGGTTGACAGCAAAGTTCATGAGGAGGGCATAATGGACTTTCTGCCTGGAATAATGCGCTTCACAGCGTGAGGTGCGACTAACATTATTCCGATCTCCTGGGAGAGGAGAGTCACCGAGACGACCGTGGATCACGAGCAGCTTCTGGGCCTCAACATGTGGTTTGAAGAGGTCTGAAATATTGGCAACTGTTCGTCTGAGCCATTCGGGGTCGGGATCTGACAGGTGGACCAGCACCACGATACAATTCAGCTCGTGTTCTGAGGAAGCTTGGAACAGGGACCGCAGGGTGTCCAAGAGGTAGCTCCCATTAGGGTGTTGCTCCGAGGAAATCCCTATGGTCAGCAGTTCTAGGGGTGGAGGGAGACAAGGGAGACTTTAGCTCTTCAAGATGGGGGAAAGGTTCCTAGGACTTCCTCTCAGGTCTCCCCTTAATGCCACACCTGTGACAAATTCATATTTCCCTTCCTTGGGAGAGTGTGGTCCAGAGGTGAGGATAATCTCTGGTTAGAGGTTGCCAAGTGGTTTTATTTGATCACAACTTTAAAAGGCTATCGGTGGAAACTTTATGAAAAACAAGCTTCTCTCTGATGGGGGAGGCTGCCATGTACCAAAGGTAAATTTGCTGGCTTGGCCAGTTGGCCAGGCCTTGACCTCAGAGTTTTCTCAGCTACCTTGGATCAACCAGACCCCGATTGGAGGATCTCCAGGGACTCATGTAAACCCAAGGGTTCTGGCACCCTAGTGCACAGCTGGTCAACATTCACCCTCCCCTTTCTCCCTCTGCTCAGTGCTTTTGACCATAGCTCCCTCCGGGTCCTCTCTCATCATGTCTTCCCCTCCCTGGGGAGCTATGAATGAGCTTCGCTATGGGGTGGCTCCTTAACGGGTCACTATGGACTTCTCAACTTGTTAGTCATTCAAGGGGGTGGCCAGTGGGAAGAAAGTACACTCAGAATTATGATCTACAGCACATTTCAGAGCTTGGTCCTCCCTCAGAGCAACCTGCTTTTCCACCAGACACAAGCTCACGTTCCCTTTTTACCCACCTTCCTTTTTCTTTTCTTTTCTTTTTTTTTAAGTTTATTTATTTTGAGAGAGAGACAGACAGACAGGGAGAGAGGGAGAGAGAGAGGCAGAGAGAGACAGAGAGACAGAGAGCATCCCAAGCAGGCTCTGCACTGTCAGTGCAGAGCCTGATGCAGGACTCAATCCCATGAACCGTGAGATCGTGACCTGAGCCGAAATCAAGAGTTGGAAGCACAACTGACTAAGCCACCCAGGCGCCCCTCCC